CCAGCCTGTCTGGCACCGACAACCATGCCATGTTCAGAGTCACTTAAATCCCCTTTCTTCCCCATTCTGATGTTCAATTTGAACTTCAGCAAGTCGTCTTCACCACGTCTAGATGCAGTGGTGTATTTAGGCTTTGTGCTGCCCTAGGCAACACAAAAATTGCTCCCCCCCCCCCCCACGGGGAGACCCTGACACCCCCCCCCCCCACGATAAAAGCCTGACATTGACCAACAGCACCCCCCCACCCAAGAGAGCCTTCCACTACCACTGCCCCATCCACACTGGCAAACCTGCCCACCCCACCCTGGCGAGAGAAGACACTCCCCTTCACAGCTCCGGACATCTCCGGGAACAAGAGTCAGGCTCTGCATACACCATCAAGCAGCCCGCAGCCTCTCTCAGATCCCACCTGGTCCCCATGCTGCATGTGTCCTTTCTTCCACCCCTTCTTTTGGGGGACGGTGCTGCCTCCCTGAAAAATGCCGCTGCCCCCTGAAAAATGCTGCTGGCCCCCTGAAAAAGTGCTGCCCTAGGCAAATGCCTTGCTTGCCTTGTGGTACATATGCCCCTGTCTAGATGCCTAAATACATTGAGTTGTTGCCGTGTGATTGGCTGATTAGCACTTTGTGTTACCAAGCCAATGAACAGATGGACCTAATAAAGTGGTCGGTGAGTGTAGATTGCTGTATGTACCTTTATCCACCCTTTTTGTTTGTTAGCCCTGAAGAAGGAGGAGTCTATTCCCTAACACTGACGTACAAAGCCGTCCACCATACTGCCCCGAACTACATCACCGACCTAATATCCAAGTACCACCCAACACACACACTCCGCTCCTCACAAGACCTCCTTCTCTCTAGTTCCCTGGTCTCCTCCTCCCATGCCCGCCTCCAGGACTTCTCCAGGGTGTCACCCATCCTCTGGAACTCCCTTCCCCAACCCATCAGACTATCACCTACTCTCCTCTCCTTTAGGCGCACCCTGAAAACCCATCTCTTCAGGGAAGCCTACCCCACCCCCTGCTAACCTGCCGACCTCCTCCACTCTTCCTACCACTCCATCCCCCACAGCTATCTCTTCCTGTACCACCATCCCCTCCCTCCTAGATTGTAAGCTCCAAGGATCAGGGCCCTCGAACCCCTCATGTATCACATTGTATTGGTATTGTTCTGTCACATGTTCTGTCCCCCTCTGTAATGTACAGCGCTGAGCCAACTATTGGCGCTTTATAAACACTGTATAATAATAATAATCCCCCGATACACGTTGGCTCGATGTACTTGTTGCTACTTTTAATAACCGTCTTTGAATCACTTCCGAAGCTGCATTCCTCACCGGGTGCTCCTTCCTTCTTATCCAGGTTCTCCAACTAGAAGGCGCACTTTGCTACGCTACGAAGATTTGGGCAAAATCTGTCTCACCTTTAAATTGGAAATTTACGATAAAAACCTAACAACTGACAAGAGGAAATCACTGGGAATACAAGAAGCACAGAGGCATCACCTACCATCATCGGCATATCTCTCCTTCTCTTCATCCCACCGCCGGCCTCCAGTCAGGGTGTATGGAGTGTATTGGGAGAAGATGGAGATGACGTGACATCCAGGAGGAGCCAAGGTGGGGTCCAGGGATGAGGGGATACATAGCTCAATCATAGGCCTGTGAGAAGTACAACACGGGAGTCAATGTTATGGCTCACAGCTCCCATACCGTGTCATAGACATAGAAACACAGAAAACTCATGGCAGAAAAAACACCAAGTGGTCCATCGAGTCGGCTTCGGTCTTTGGTGGGTTTTTTTTTTATAAATTTTTTATGTTCATGAAATTTTTTTATAGGTCTACATAGAGAGTTCTATAGAGACATCCAGTAAAGTCCGTCCAGTTCAACCATTGAAAGAAAAAAGTTATAATCCGACACCCACAGTGGATCCAGAGGAAGGGAAAAATCCCAGCAAAGCACGATCCAATCTGCTCCTGCAAGGGAAAAAATTCCTTCCTGACCACCCGACAATCCGAGAGGCAATATTCAGATATTCCCGGGATCATTATTCCATGGGATCAATATTCAATATTCCCGGGATCAATATTCAAATATTATTCGGATTCCATGGATCAATATTCAATATATTCCCGGGATCAATATTCGGATATTCCCGGGATCAATATTCGGACATTCCATGGATCAATATTCAGATATTCCCCGGGATCAATATTCAAATATATTCACGGGATCAATATTCAAATATTCACGGGATCAATATTCAAATATTCCCCGGGATCAATATTCGGGATCAATATTCGGACATATCCATCAATATTCGGATCCCGGATCAATATTATTCAGGATATTCCCGGGATCAATATTCAAATATTCCCGGGATCAATATTCGGATATTCCCGGGATCAATATTCGGATATTCCCGGGATCAATATTTGGATCATTCCCCGGGATCAATATTTGGACATTCCCGGGATCAATATTCGGATATTCCCGGATCAATTCCCGGGATCAATATTTGGACATTCCCGGGATCAATATTCGGATTTCCCCGGGACAATTTCCCCGGGATCAATATTCGGACATTCCCGGACAATATTCGGACATTCCCGGGATCAACAATCCCGGATCAATATTCGTTCTAATATTCGTTTGTCCCGGGCATGTTTGTTGTTTGAAGCTATTTACTGCTGACTCCCTCTCGCTGCTGGAAGTTTAGCATCAACTACTCCTTCAGTAAAATAATAATTTATAACAGTGGCAGAACTACCAGGGTGGCAAAGGTCGCAATTGTGACCCGGCCCTGGTGTTCCGCCACTGTGGAGGGGGCCCCAAGAGATGTTGTTCTGGAACATCTTCCCCCCTGCTTCCCCATCATAAACCCTCCTTGCAGACCACCACCTGCCGAGCTCAGCCGATTACTAGTCGGGTGGTTCCGGAACTGTACATGTCCACATTGCGCATGCGCCGTTCCAGAGCCGGATGATTAGTAATTAGGTGAATTCTGCTCTGGCTCAGCGGAGTTTGACTTGTGGTGCGCGGTGACGTCGGCAGGTTCTGCACTCTGTATGTGCGGCTCCGGAGCTGGCCGAATAGTACATGGCTGCATTCTGCTAGGGCTCTGCGGAGAAAGGCTTGAGGGGTGGGGGGGGGGGGGGGGGCTTTACAGTAAATTTGGAAGCATCTGCAAGGAGGGGGTGCAGGGGAGAGGAGGACCAAAGCAAGCAAGGTCAGTTAGTTACCCTAAGGGGGGGGGGGGGGTGTCACTGATGTAAGGGGCAAGTGGAGACCCTAAGGTAAGATGGGACATGGATATAAAGGTCCTCTCTTATATCATTCACCCTAATGTATTCACTCTCTGCAGACTCTGGTGCAAAGGGGAACTCTGCAGAGCCTGATGTAAAGGGGAACTCTGCAGAGCTCTGCAGACCCTGATGTAAAGGGGAACTCTGCAGACCCTGATGTAAAGGGGAACTCTGCAGACCCTGATGATGCAGACCCTAAAAGGGGAACTCTGCAGAGCCTGATGTAAAGGGGAACTCTGCAGAGCCTGATGTAAAGGGGAACTCTGCAGAGCCTGATGTAAAGGGGAACTTTGCAGAGCCTGATGTAAAGGGGAACTCTGCAGAGCCTGATGTAAAGGGGAACTCTGCAGAGCCTGATGTAAAGGGGAACTCTGCAGACCCTGATGTAAAGGGGAACTCTGCAGACCCTGATGTAAAGGGGAACTCTGCAGACCCTGATGTAAAAGGAAATCTGCAGACCCTTGTAAAGGGAATGTTGTAAAGGGGAACTCCAGTGTAAGAGGTTCTCTGACCACCAGAGCCCCCCCCCTTACATCAGAGTCAGCAGAGGGGAACTCTGTGTACTCTGATGGAGGAATTCTGCAAACTCTGATGTAAGGGGGGCTCTGGTGATCAGAGAACCTTTTACTCCAGAGTGTGCAGGTGCTCCAGAGCTTAATAAATGAAGTGAAGCTTCACTTTGCACACAGAATACCCAATCACAGGCAAGGTAAATAAAAAACGGCATTATGCTTGGACATGATTGGATGATGGAAGTCAGAAGAAAATGTCAGAATATTGTACACATGGGGTTATACATTGCTGACGGTTCACAGATGTCCTCTCCACGGGACCGGTGGTGGTTGTCAAGCCAACAACTCTCATTTACCATCAAGTAAGTGCAATACCAGCAGTAGTTCAGAAAATCTGAAGGAAGGGGAAGGGGAGGGAAGGGGACGGAAGGGCAAAGGGCAGGCAAGGGGAGGGAAGGGGACGGAAGGGCAGGGAAGGGCAGGCAAGGGGAGGGAAGGGGACGGAAGGGGGAAGGGCAGGCAAGGGGAGGGAAGGGCAGGCAAGGGGAGGGGAAGGTCAGGGAAGGGCAGGCAAGGGGAGGGAAGGGCAGGCAAGGGCAGGGAAGGGCAAAGAAGGTCAAGGGGAGGGAAGGTCAGGGAAGGGGGGGTCAGGGCAAGGGCAGGAAAGGGGAGGGAAGGTCAGGGAAGGGGACGGAAGGGCAGGCAAGGGGACGGAAGGTCAGGGAAGGGCAGGCAAGGGGAGGGAAGGGCAGGCAAGGGGAGGGAAGGTCAGGGAAGGGCAGGCAAGGGGACGGAAGGGCAGGCAAGGGGAGGGAAGGGCAAAGAAGGTCAGGAGAGGGGAGGGAAGGTCAGGCAAGGGCAGGGAAGGGCAGGCAAGGGGAGGGAAGGGCAGGGAAGGACGCAAGGGGAGGGAAGGGAAGGTCAGGGAAGGGGAAAACACACCCCGGGCCACTCTTATTTTACCAAGTTATGGCCGTCATTGGAGGAACCTTCTTCATCCAGACAATCCAGCAGGACACAGTCACTATATACAGAGCATACAAGGTTCTCCCCCACAGCAGCTGCTCCATAAGATCTGTCATTTCACTAACTTACCTACCACTGTCCTACCATAAGTCCTGCTTGTTGTAATCACAGAACTGGAGACGTGTTCTAAACCTCCCACCCATATTATATATATATATATACACACACTGTATTGCCAAAAGTATTGGTCACGCCCTCCCAATCATGTGTTTCAGGTGTTCCAATCCCCTCCCAATCATGTGATTCAGGTGTTCCAATCCCCTCCATATCATGTGATTCAGGTGTTCCAATCGCCTCCATATCATGTGATTCAGGTGTTCCAATCGCCTCCATATCATGTGATTCAGGTGCTCCAATCCCCTCCATATCATGTGATTCAGGTGTTCCAATCCCCTCCATGGACACAGGTGTATACAATCAAGCCCCTAGGCATGCAGACGGCTTCTACAAACATTGGTGAAAGAATGGGTCGCTCTCAGGAGCTCAGTGACTCCAAGCGTGGTCCCGTGATAGGTGGCCACTTGGGCAATAAATCCATCCATGACATTTCCTGGCTACTAAATATTCCACGCTCAACTGTTAGTGGGATTATAACAAAGTGGAAGCCACTGGGAACAACAGCCACTCAGCCACCAAGTGGTCAGCCACGTCACATGACAGAGCAGTCTTGGCCCCCTAGTTCCAGTGAAGGGAACTCTTAAGGTGACATTTTGGACAATTTCATGCTCCCAACTTTGTGGGAGGAGTTTGGGGATGGCCCCTTCCTGTTCAAATATGAGTGCACAAAGCAAGGTCCATAAAGACATGGAGGAGCCAGTTTGGGGTGGAGGAACTTGACCAGCCTGCACAGAGTCCTGACCTCAACCCCATAGAACACCTTTGGGATGAATTAGAGCGGAGACTGCGAGCCAGGCCTCCTCCCCCGACCTGCCTCCCCCGACATCAGTGCCTGACCTGACAAATGTGCTTCTGGAAGAATGGTCCAACCTTCCCATAGACACCCTCCTAAACCTTGTGGACGGCCTTCCCAGAAGAGTTGAAGCTGTTATAGCTGCAAAGGGCGGGGCCAACTAAATATTGAACCCTACGGACTAAGACTGGGAGGCCATTAAAGGTCATGTGTGTGGGAAAGGGCGGGGCCAACTCAATATTGAACCCTATGGACTAAGACTGGGAGGCCATTAAAGGTCATGTGCGTGGAAAGAATGGGGCCAACTCAATATTGAACTCAATATTGAAAACCTGGACTAAAACTGGGAGGCCATTAAAGGACGTTGTCCTGCTGGAAGGAGAACCTCCGCCCCGGTCTCACGTCTTCTGCAGACTCTAACAGGTTTTCTTCTAAGATTGCCCTGTATTTGGCTCCATCCATCTTCCCATCAACTCTGACCAGCTTCCCTGTCCCATGCTGAAGAAAAGCATCCCCACCACATGATGCTGCCACCGCCATATTTCACGGTGGGGGTGGTGTGTTCAGGGGGATGGGCAGTGTTAGTTTTCCCCCACACAGCGTTTTGCTTTTAGGCCATAAAGTCCCATGTTGGTCTCCTCTGACCAGAGCCCCTTCTTCCACATGTTTGCTGTGTCCCCCACATGGCTTCTCACAAACTGCAAACGGGACTTCTTATGGCTTTCCTCCAACAATGGCTTCTTCTTGTCACTCTTCCATAAAGGTCAGATTTGTGGAGTGACGACTAATAGTTGTCCTGAGGACAGATTCTCCCCCCTGAGCTGTGATCTCTGCAGCTCCTCCACAGTTCCCATGAGCCTCTTGGCTGCTTCTCTGATGAATGCTCTCCTTGCCCAGCCGGTCAGTTTAAGTGGACGGCCATATCTTGGTAGGTTGGCAGTTGTGCCGTACTCTTCCCATGTTCAGGATGATGGATTGAACACAGCGCTCCGTGAGATGGTCAAAGCTTGGGAGATTGTTTTATAACCTAACCCTGCTTTACACTTATCCACAACTTTATCCCTGACCTGTCTGGTGTGTTCCTTGGCCTTCATGATGCTGTTTGTTCTCTAATGTTCTCTAACAAACCTCTGAGGGCTTCACAGAACAGCTGGATTTATACTGAGATCACATGACACACAGGGGGGCTCTATGTACTAATGAGGTGAATTGTGAAGGCAATTGGTTCCACTAGATCATAGTTAGAGGTATCAGAGTAAAGGGGGCTGAATACAAATGTCGCCACACTTTTCACAGATTTATTGGTCACAAATGTTGGAAACCATTTCTCATTTTCCTTCCACGTCACTTTGTGATGGTCTATCTCATCCAATCCCAATAAAATACATTGATGTTTTTGGTTGTAACATGACAAGATGGGGAACATTCCAAGAGGGAGGAAGACTTTTTCAAGGCACTGTATGTTCCGGCACCTCCAGCAATAAATGTATGTACTTGCAGGGAGTTCTGGGGTATGCTAGAGGGTCTTTTGATGCTGGCTGGGGGATCTATTGACACTGGGCAGGTGTAGTGTTGCGTGGAGGGCTCCATTGTTCACCAGGCAGGGGGATGGTCTATTGTTGCGGTGGTGGCAGAGTCTGATTAGAGTTCAGACTGGAGGGGGCAGGTATCTTCGGGTCACGGTGGGGCAACTGATCTAAAAGTTTTTGTAGGAGAAGTCAGGATCAGGATCAGCAGGGTGGCAAAGTAAACTGTTGTTTCTGGTGGGGGATATATTGTAGCTGGCGCGCCTGGGTCCTAGGGTTATTATTTTGAAGGATCTACGCATGTGCAGATGTTGAGGATGAAGACAGCTCCATTGTTGCAGGGTGGTCTATTGTTGCTGGTGGGGGTCTATTATTTCTGGAGGGGATCTTCTGTTGGGGGATCTATTTTTTTAGGCTGCTGGGGTATCTATTGTTGCTGGGTGGATCTGTTGTTTCTGGCGGGGATCTATTGTTGCTGGAGGGGTTATTATGAAATCTTTACTGTTGGCTGTTGGAGGGTCTATTGATGCTGGCTGATGGGGTATCTGATGATGTTCAAAGAGGTCTATTGTTGCTGGAGTGGATGTTGTTGTTGCTGGGTGGGGGGGTGGGGGTTCGGTTAGTGCCGGGGGATCTATTGTTGCTGGGGAAATCTATTCTGGCTGGCAGCAGTGGATCTATTTTATTGCTTTTCTTGTTATCATTAACAAATACAAATTAATTCACTCCACAAAATGATACTTGATTCTGTATTCTCTGTGTATTGCCCTTTAGATTATCTATGTTTGCTGTCTTTTAGATAGAGGGTGAGTAGCAGCCTGGGATGAGTCAGCCTGGGAGTGAGGTAAGAGTTTACCTCAGGTTAGGCTGGAAGGTTCTACAGGTCAGGGCTTCTGCAAGCCCTCCCACTGTTCCAGAAACTGGCAGAACTTTTTGGAAGAGGGGTGGAGGAGGGGAGGAATCCGAGATCTGCATGTTCGAAGGACCTTGGCCAATCCCAGAGCAGGAGGCTGGGCATGGTGACCAGGGCAACCTCAATTATGACAGAGCCTGGGAAGCAGAGGGGTCTGGTGGAAGATGGACTGAGCGGAAATCTGGAGTGTGGAGCCTGGAGGGGGCCCAAGGAAAGGGAGTCTACCTACAGGCAGGATGCTGGATGGGAGGATCTCTACTGCCTCAACGACAGCCTGTTAGTCTGGAAGGAGCCTGCCCAGTGTAAGGCCTGAAGGCAGCTACCAACCAACCATGCTGACTGGACAGGACATTGTGAGAACTCCTTCCCCTCGGGCCAAATAAGAGGTGAGGGCGGTCAGGTGCAAAACCCAACTAGTCCTCATCTGGGACTGCTTAACTGCAAGCTTCTGGGACCTCTTGCCCAGGGATACCCTTGGTGCTGGTTGAAGAGGAGGTTCATCTGGGGTCTGAGGAGAGGTACACCAAAAAGGGACTACTGCGCTCCTTAAAGGGACAGTGCTATATTTTGCTAGTCCACATTTTTGGACATAGTTGCTAAGAAGTTCGTCCTCAAGTTCTTCAGTTCCTTGGGCATCCTATATACCCCCTAGACCCCATCCAAGTTGTCAACCCCTTAATAAAAACAACTAAAAACCAGCTCAAGGACTAACTAACTCTGAGAGCACAAGTGTGGAAAATGCATGTTGCCTGGCCGTGCAAAGCATAGATGGACCCAAACCAAATCCAGCGGCCCTTACGGGGGTAGTGCTACATCTAAAAGAGGTGGTACTGGGTGGTGGGCAAGGGGAGAAGACAAGGGACTGGAAAGGGGAGGGGAGTACCTGCACCTTCTCTGAGACTATGTATATATATACAGTACATGTAATAGGACAGAGCAAGGATGAGGAGAATACGAACTCCCGGCACGCTTCCAGTAGGGTAGAACAGTCATCTTTGGACCATCCAGAATTATCTTCTGTTACACGGAAGACAAATCTAGATGAAGAACTTGTCTGGAAAGGTTTACAGGCTAAATCAGCACTTTATTACCTCCATGTACCAAGAAATACTATAAACATGCTAATAGAAGGCTGATTGTGAAGGTCATCTTAGAAATAAATGCATAATATGAATAAATAATGTTCTCAAAGTGTGAAGAATGTGAAGAATGGATGAAATCATTTTCTCTGTACACAGAGATCTATAAACTGAAATGCATGATTGTGACAGACCCAACCGGGCAGGGGCTGTTGGAGGGGACTGTCAGGGCAGGGCTGTGGAACGGACAGGCAGGCCTAGTGGCAGGGTAAGGCACTGGCTGACGACAACCACCACCAACAGACCGAAGTCCCTCAGGGCACGGAGTCTAAGTCCCAGGCTGCCCTTCACCAGGGCCCCTGATGGTGGGGATGGACTTGACGCAGCCAGGAACCAGGTCGCGGCCCCCGAGACACCCCGGCTGCGGTAATGGCCGCCGCCAATGGCGTGTAGCTGGTGAGAATGACAATAGCGTAGTCAGGCAGGCCGGGTCGACAACAACGGGACAAAACGGTACAGAACAGTAGACAGAGAATAACAGGTCACGGGCCGGGTTCAGCAACGGAAGGTCAGATCGAAGGAAAACACAGAGAATGGTCTTAGTCACAAGCCGAGTCAGAATACCAGAAGAGTCACGAGAGTATACACAGAGACACTAGACAAAGACACAAGACACAAGTGCAAAGAGCATGTGCAGATCCCAGGCTTATATGTACTCAGCCACACCCCTCTGGGGGATGGACCTCAGAGACCTGAAGGCATAAAAGATTCCCACCATGCTCAGCAGAAATCCAAGATGGATGCCAGCACATGGAGTAACATAACCTCTGGGAAAAGGTAGGACCTTGACAGGGACTAGGGGCTCGCCTTCTACCCAATGATTATGCCCCATGGTGGAGACCAAAATTTTGTCTACTTCTCCTGGTCAGATCATGGAGGAGATCTGGGTACTGAAACCCTTTGACTCTCCGGGAGTATCTTCTGGGATTATGCAGCCAGAAAGTCCCCAAAACAGTGGTGCATCTGAGGGAACATTGTGTTGGACTGATCGTGAAGATGCACCTTCTCCAGCCAGGGCTATGGAACTCTTCTTGGGCACATTTCTTATCTTGCCCCGGCTTGTCCTCCAGAGCTGCCCCGTTTCCCCCACTTTCTACCACCTATATCATTAACTTTTTATATTATTTCTGCGAAGATGTGCCACTTGGTGACCAAGATCTGAGCTGGATCTAGAGTGGGACATTTAGAAAGGAGTGGTGTCATGTACTTTATCTCTCCAGGGCTGTGGAACTGTTTCTGGCCATCTTGGTGGACACGCCCTGACTAATCATGACTTATTGTGGTGGGGGGGAGGAATTCCTGGGACTACTAGCCAGACTGATAAGACTTGTCTAGGTGGCTGGATAGTATTAGATTCATGTTTAGAGATTGAATTTGTTTGTAGAAGCAGTCTGCATGCCTAGGGGCTTGATTTTATACACCTGTGGCCATGGAGGGGATTGGAACACCGGAATCACATGATTGGAGGGGATTGGAACACCTGAATCACATGATATGGAGGGGATTGGAACACCTGAATCACATGATTGGAGGGGATTGGAACACCTGAATCACATGATTGGAGGGGATTGGAACACCCTGAATCACATGATGTGGAGGGGATTGGAACACCTGAATCACATGATGTGGAGGGGATTGGAACACCTGAATCACATGATGTGGAGGGGATTGGAACACCTGAATCACATGATATGGAGGGGGGATTCGAACACCTGAATCACATGATTGGGAGGGGGTTGGAACACCTGAATCACATGATATGGAGGGGATTGGAACACCTGAATCACATGATATGGAGGGGATTGGAACACCTGAATCACATGATTGGGAGGGGATTGGAACACCTGAATCACATGATATGGAGGGGATTCGAACACCTGAATCACATGATTGGGAGGGGATTAGGAACACCTGAATCACATGATTGGGAGGGGGAACACCTTGGAATTGGAACACCTGAATCACATGATTGGGAGGGGATTGGAACACCTGAATCACATGATATGGAGGGATATGATGGGATTGGAACACCTGAATCACATGATATGGAGGGGATGGGAACACCTGAATCACATGATATGGAGGGCGGGCCCATTACTTTTGGCATCATGGTGCAGTTAGCTCGGGGAGGTATCTCTTATGGCCAGAGTGCTGCTCTGTCCTTTAATTTCACTCATTTTCTTTACACTGGTTTATATATCACCATTTACAAAAAATCCCCCCAAAATGTTGCAGACTCGATGGGCCGCTTGTTTTTTTCTGCCGTCACTCTTCTATGTTTCTATACATTCTATTCTGAACTTTGATACCTTGTTGATGGTTTTCCCTGACAGGCGTCTTCATGGGCCTCATCTAGGAGTTTCATTTGTTCGCTGTTCAGGTGGATGGAGCATTGGTGGTGGGGCCGCGGTCTGCCATCCGCTGTGTTGGGTATAGAGAGGAAGTTCGGTAAACGATCTACAGCCACTGTAGGGGAAGCACATGGTCACTCCATTATTCCTCCATGCCATGACTCAGACGTGTCACAGTATATCTCAGGGATGGTGAAACCTTCCTGGAAAAGGAACAGCAACAAATGTGAACCATTTCTCTTCTGCTTTCTGAAAAGTGAATAATTACTTCTGTTTTCTTGATGCGAACTGCCATTTACTTTACAAAATAAGGAGCCTTGCCTGACGTACCCTATAGGGATGGATTACATACACACATGCACAGCTCCCAACTGTCCCTGATTGGCAGCCCTCTCCCCTCTTCCCTCCTCATTTGTCCCTCTTTGAGGTCTGATATATGGAGTTGTACAGTCAGGTCCATAAATATTGGGACATGGACACAATTCTAACATTTTTGGCTCTATACACCACAATGGATTTGAAATGAAACGAACAAGATGTGCTTTAACTGCAGACTGTCAGCTTTAATTTGAGGGTATTTACATCCAAATCAGGTGAACGGTGTAGGAATTACAACAGTTTGCATATGTGCCTCCCACTTGTTAAGGGACCAAAAGTAATGGGACAAAATAATAATCATAAATCAAACTTTCACTTTTTAATACTTGGTTACAAATCCTTTGCAGTCAATTGCAGCCTGAAGTGTGGAACGCATAGACATCCCCAGACGCTGGGTGTCATCCCTGGTGATGCTCTGCCAGGCCTCTACTGCAACTGTCTTCAGTTCCTGCTTGTTCTTGGGGCATTTTCCCTTCAGTTTTGTCTTCAGCAAGTGAAATGCTCAATCGGATTCAGGTCAGGTGATTGGCCATTGCAGAACATTCCACTTCTTTGGTGTCTTTTGCAGTCTGCTTTGGGTCATTGTCCATCTGCACTGTGAAGCGTCCAATGAGTTGTGAAGCATTTGGCTGAATATGAGCCGATAATATTCCCGAAACACTTCACAATTCATCCGGCTGCTTCTGTCAGCAGTCACATCATCAATAAATACAAGAGAAGCAGTTCCATTGGCAGCCATACATGCCCACGCCATGACACTACCACCACCATGATCACTGATGAGGTGGTATGCTGAGGACCATGAGCAGTTCCTTCTCCATACTCTTCTCTTCCCATCACTCTGGTACAAGTTGATGTCGGTCTCATCTGTCCATAGGATGTTGTTCCAGAACTGTGAAGGCTTTTTTACATGTCGTTTGGCAAACTCTAATCTGGCCTTCCTGTGTTTGAGGCTCACCAATGGTTTCCATCTTGTGGTGAACCCTCTGTATTCACTCTGGTGAAGTCTTCTCTTGATTGGTGACTTTGACACACATACACCTACCTCCTGGAGAGTGTTCTTGATCCGGCCAACTGTTGTGAAGGGTGTTTTCTTCACCAGGGAAAGAATTCTTCGCTCATCCACCACAGTTGTTTTCCGTGGTCTTCCGGGTCTTTTGGTGTTGCTGAGCTCACCGGTGCGTTCCTTCTTTTTAAGAATGTTCCAAACAGTTGTTTTGGCCACGCCTAATGTTTTTGCTATCTCTCTGATGGGTTTGTTTTGTTTTTTCAGCCTAATGATGGCTTCACTGATAGTGACAGCTCTTTTTGGATCTCATCTTGAGAGTTGACAGCAACAGATTCCAAATGCAAATAGCACACTTGAAATGAACTCTGGACCTTTTATCTGCTCATTGTAATTGGGATAATGAGGGAATAACACACCCCTGGCCATGGAACAGCTGAGAAGCCAATTGTCCCATTACTTTTGGTCCCTAAACAAGTGGGAGGCACATATGCAAACTGTTGTAATTCCTACACCGTTCACCTGATTTGGATGTAAATACCCTCAAATTAAAGCTGACAGTCTGCAGTTAAAGCACATCTTGTTTGTTTCATTTCAAGTCCATTGTGGTGTATAGAGCCAAAAATGTTAGACTTGTGTCCATGTCCCAATATTTATGGACCTGACTGTATATAAAACAAACTTTTTCTCTGTCACAAGGTGTTTCCCGGCGCTAAACCTTCCATCCAATTTCTAAATTGCTGCATTTGTAAATGATAAAAACCAATTTAAAGGAATAAAATTTGTAGGAAAAAAACACAAATGGATAAAACTAAACATATTTGTATCATTTTCCTTTAAGGGGCGTGGCAGGGGGTGTGTCTTATGCCTACATACGTTTGCTAATCGGTGTCCTTTGTTCCCATCTCAAAATGTTCGGAGGGTGTATACATTATATATACTGACAGTGTGGTTCTCTTTAAAGGTCACAAAGGGTTCTCATGGATGCAGGTTGGGGGGAAGAGGGCAGAATGTCAGTTCTAAGCTGAAAAAATTGGGTTTTTTTTTTAGTTTTTTTTCTGGTTTTGGAAAGTCCCAGATTGGGTTCTGGAGTCCATAGATTTTGAAGAGTTTTAGGAGGGAGGAAACCTTTAACCCTGGATCCATGTTTTACTGACCACCAGCAGTTGTGTGTGCCGGAGTGCACAGCCTTTATAGTCAGGGCTCCACCCAGGAGACAGGAGGTCCTCCGCCCAGAGGTCAGGGTGTGGGCCCATGCTGCACCAATGCCACAGAACATATGACTGACAACACCTTGACACGCCTCGCCAGGCTGTTTTGTGGCATTGGCACAGTAAAGGCTTTCTGGCAACTCGGCCATGCAGCTAATTTTTGTTCAAGTATCATCATATTGTGCTCCTTGAAACAACCACACCCTCTTTTTCCAGAGCAGCCCGTATTCCTCCTGAGGTGACCTGTGGGGGGGTTTTACTTTGTATTCCGAACAATTCTTCTGGCAGTTGTGGCTGCAATCTTTCTTGGTCTACCTGACCTTGTCCTTGGTATCAAGAGATAAACAAATATTTGCACTTAGAAAGTGATTGAACAGGAATGACCGGCATATTCAAGGATTTTGATATCCTTTTTACATCCTTTTCCATCTTTATAAAGTTCAATTACCTTCTTACTCATGTCTTTAGACAGTTCTTTTCTGCTCCCCATGGCTCAGTATCTAGCCTGCTTGGTGCCTCCATGTGATAGTGAACAAACTCACTGACTACACACAGACACTAATTGAAAATTAAAAAGCCACAGATGTGGGAAATGAACCTTTAATTAGCATTGTAACCCGTGTGTCACCTTGTGTGTCTGTACCAAGGCCAAACATATACAGTATATATATATATACACATTATATTGCCAAAATTATTGGGCCCGCCCTCCCAATCATGTGATTCAGGTGTTCCAATCTCCTCCATGTCATGTGATTCAGGTGTTCCAATCCCCTCCCAATCATGTGATTCAGGTATCCCAATCCCCTCCATATCATGTGATTCAGGTGTTCCAATCCCCTCCATATCATGTGATTCAGGTGTCCCAATCCCCTCCAATCATGTGGTTCAGGTGTTCCAATCCCCTCCATATCATGTGATTCAGGTGTTCCAATCCTCGCCATATCATGGTGTTCCAGGTGTTCCAATCCCCTCCATGGACACAGGTGTATACAATCAAGCCCCTAGGCATGCAGACGGCTTCTACAAACATTGGTGAAAGAATGGGTCGTTCTCAGGAGCTCAGTGACTCCAAGCGTGGTCCCGTGATAGGTGGCCACCTGGGCAATAAGTCCATCCGTGACATTTCCTGGCTTCTAAATATTCCACGCTCAACTGTTAGTGGGATTATAACAAAGTGGAAGCCACCGGGAACAACAGCCACTCAGCCACCAAGTGGTAGGCCACGTCACATGACAGGGCGGGGTCAGCGCATGCTGAAGCGCACAGACAAATGTGCTTCTGGAAGAATGGTCCAACCTTCCCATAGACACCCTCCTAAACCTTGTGGACGGCCTTCCCAGAAGAGTTGAAGCTGTTATAGCTGCAAAGGACGGGGCCAACTCAATATTGAACCCTACGGACTAAGACTGGGGGGCCATTAAAGGTCATGTGTGTGGAAAGGGCGGGGCCAACTCAATATTGAACCCTACGGACTAAGACTGGGGGGCCATTAAAGGTCATGTGTATGGAAAGGGCGGGGGCCAACTCAATATTGAACCCTACGGACTAAGACTGGGGGGTCATTAAAGGTCATGTGTGTGGAAAGGGCGGGGCCAACTCAATATTGAACCCTACGGACTAAGACTGGGGGCCATTAAAGGTCATGTGTGTGGAAAGGGCGGGGCCAACTCAATATTGAACCCTACGGACTAAGACTGGGGGGTCATTAAAGGTCATGTGTGTGGAAAGGGCGGGGCCAACTCAATATTGAACTCTACGGACTAAGACTGGGGGGCCATTAAAGGTCATGTGTGTGGGAAAGGGCGGGGCCAACTCAATATTGAACTCTACGGACTAAGACTGGGGGGCCATTAAAGGTCATGTGTGTGGGAAGGGCGGGGCCAACTCAATATTGAACCCTACGGACTAAGACTGGGGGGGTCATTAAAGGTCATGTGTGTGGAAAGGGCGGGGCCAACTCAATATTGAACCCTACGGACTAAGACTGGGGGGTCATTAAAGGTCATGTGTGTGGAAAGGGCGGGGCCAACTCAATATTGAACTCTACGGACTAAGACTGGGGGGCCATTAAAGGTCATGTGTGTGGGAAAGGGCGGGGCCAACTCAATATTGAACCCTCTACGGACTAAGGTCATGGGGGGGGGCCATTAAAGGTCATGGTGTGTGGGGCGGGGCCAAATATTGGGACGGGGGCCATTAAAGGTCAACTCAATATTGAACTCTACGGACTAAGACTGGGGGCATTCACCATTTGTTATATTTGCTGTATTCGTATTCCTGAGACCTTTAGTACATAACCAGCTCCGTACTGAATATACAGCACTGGGGGCACAAATACTTTGCTGCATCATTCTGGATCTGCATACAGAACTTGTGCCACCAGAACCTGCCTAGTATAAAGGGTTACAGAAAGCATTCTCAGCATCTCGGACGTTTAGCTTCAGCCTCCCGGCTCCCTCAGTCCTCTCACACCCTTCCTCTGCATCCACACAGATTCTCACACACTTCAAGTGGACTTCATGGGTAGGGAAGAGCTCTGAACTATTGCAAACACCCAACTTGTACGGGCCGTGCACTGCTGCCTACCCAGGGTGCTAACGAAACATGGAGACCTCCAAAGTCTCCACAAAGCCTCTGGGCTCCAGAACCCATATCAGGACTTACAGATCCCGGAGGACACTGAACACCCAGATTCTCTGTGCCAAACGCACATCCTGGAGCCTATCAACCTGTATAGGTGAGAACCCTGAGACCCACGTAACCTCTCATCATGACAGAGCACTGTACCCGTGGCATCGTGTCTGTATGTACAAATGGTCCTTGCAGATGGCACACTGCCAGGAAGGTCACACCAGTATGTAGAATGGCACATCTGGAGGAATATCATGCTCAGGCCAGATCGAAGCCATGCATATACATACATAGGTGCATGAGAATGTGCGCCTGAGACTACTGCTGGAGCCAAACATGCTACGTAACCTGATGAGCTGCACATATCCGGTGCTTTCTTGTCTAGAGAGTTACATGTGAATCTGTGATCTGTGACCTTGTACCTGATTACATGCTACTGTCCCATGTTGCCTTGACGTGTTCCTGATATCTGCCTTCACCGGCCTCAGCTTACATTTGGACTTTGCTTCTGCCTGCTTGTTCTGTTCCTGACCCCCTCATCTATTACCGGCTCCAACCTGAATCTTGACTACACTTCTGCTTCCCTTGTTGTACTTGACCTGATCACCACTTGTTCCCCTGACTTTGCACCGGTCCTGAATCTCTGTGCCATGGTCATCGCCAGCCTGCAGTCTCTCAGACGACACTCCTGTCCATCAGCTCCTGAGAGGAAGCGAATCAGAACTGACCAGTTCCCATGTGCCTGCTTATCGGTACTAACTTTTGGCAAGAAGAAGCACTCGTGCCACTCCATTGTCTTAAGTTACCTGTTGGCTGTACCAGGGGCCAGAGCCGGAGGTGCAAGAGAGACCATCCTCATCTCCTCAACCTCCTCCACCAGGTACATCACACATACTAAGCCCTCAACTGACACCAATGCAAAGTGTCAGGGTCCTGTCCACGGCAAAGGTTCTGGAAGATCTGGCAGTTCTGCCAGTACTCTGCATGGCCGCAGAAGGACACATCAGCCTCAGTCTGGTGCCAGGCGGCCTTTATAAGGAGGTTCATCACTTCCTCTGGTTGCTGGATGATCTCTAGCTCCCTGTGCCCTGTTCCTGGTTCCTGTGATTCTGACCCGTGATTTCCTGTTACCGACTCGGCTTGCTCCTGGACCCGTCTACTCTGCTTTACCCCTGATCTGACCTCGGCTTGGCTTACGGATACTCTCTCTCTCTCTCCTCTGTCTATGACCTCGGCTATCTCATCTGACTACATCTGCTCCGATTCCCACCCGGTACCTGACCTTGGCCTGAACCGACTACCCAGTAAACATCTAAATCCCGGAAGGGCTTGCATACCACGCACAGGGGCCTCCTGTCTGCAGACCTATCTCCGTGCACCAGCTGTGCTTCTGAGTGGACCACCAACCAGCACTCCTACAGGCGACCTGTGCAACTTTGGGCCTGACTTCCTCTGTCCCACTCTCAGGGGAGTCCGGGACTTAGCCGCAAGGGAAGCCCTCTCCCCATTGGCCTCCATCACCAGGTACGTGATACAAAGACTAACGTTCGAGTTCTGATATTTTTAAACTGTAAAAGAGGCAAAGAAAGGACTGACCTCTCCTGGTCCACCTCTGCATCGGGTGCATTTAGAAGTTTATCCTCATCTGCATGTAGACCAGAAAGCGAAGAACGAAGCCACCCGTCACAAGGTCACACCATATGGTTTAATCAAAGTAGTTGACTTCTGACCCTGTAATGCAGGCCATACATGGTTCAAATTCTGAACGATTTTTGTCCGAAAATCGAAAACGTTGTTCGCTCGGTAATCCGATGGCGCCATCAACGATTTAAAAAATCGGTTGACCGAGTCATAAAGTTCACCACATATAACAGGCAAAACTTCTGTTCCCTTCCAGGTCACGGCTCACGCGCATATTTTTTGGAAAAACGCTTGTACAATTTGACCATCATTGAGTCGAAAATCGGTCGTTTTTCACAAATTTTCCAACATGCCCGATCACCTAAAAGGGGAGGAACCATGCTTTTCTGGTTTTTTTTTTTTTTGTCTTCCCCTGGATCAACTGTGGGTGGAGGATTATAACTTTTTTTTTTCTATGGTTGAGCTGGATGGACTTTTGTCTTTTTTCAGCCAGACTAACTATGGAACTGTGTAACTATGGAACTATGTAACTATGTAACTATGGAGCTATGTAACTATGGAACCACTGTGGCAGTGCGGTATCCAGACACGGTGAAAATCACGGTGATAACCCAGGATTCTCAACTATACAGGTTGAGGGGCTCCAGGCAGATCTCATAATGCAGAGGAAACTGGTTTATCAGTATCCTCTTTGGTTTGTAAAGCCCGTTTTGGGACTTGTGGCCTGGAGATTTCTCAGTGATTTGGGAGGGATGGAATCTCCAATCCTGGGCCCATGTTTTGTGATTATCCAGCACACTGATTGCACAGGTGTGTGCAGGTCTTTTTGTAGAGCCCAAACCATGATTCTGGGCTCAGCCCCGGGCAGACAGGAGATCGTTGCCCAGGAGTCAGGAGGTCTCCACCTAGGAGAGGTGGGAGCCAGAGCAGCAAGGGGCTGTATATCTGAGAGAGCCAGGAGGCTGAATTTTGTTTCATTTGTTTGATGGTGGCTACCCCTGCGTGGGAACATATGTAATGGACCTTTCCTTTTAATAAAATTGGGCTAAAAGGCCTTTAAAAAATAAAGCGAGTGGCTGTGTGCTGGAAAAGCTCTACCATTTGATGCTAGTTCTCACACCACAAAAATCGGCCGGTGCCATTGACCCACAAACAGAGCGAAAATCGGCCGATTATTCTTAGGTCCGATTTTCGCATGAAAAATTGGTCGAATTGCGACCCACGTATGCCGGCCTAAGAAGGACATGGCTTAGGGTGAGGATTTTGTCAGAAACCATCTACTTTGATGAAACCTTATGGTGTGACCCTACGGAGGGTGGCTTTGTCCTTCAATTTTTCCCTAAAACTTTAAACTACCCATATCAATCCCTTGAAAACATTAATGGGGAAGTACAAAACATTTATGAAATACATATTCGGTGCAAACACACAATAGCACCCCAGAATCATCGAAGTACATTGGGCACCCCAAGCTGTCGGTAAAATAAAGAGAAAACAGACTTTTTCATCCAGGGTTCCATGGAATCCGAAGATTTCCTCCGAGGTTCCTTGAGTAATGTCTGCCTCTCAGACAGGCTCCTGATGACCACAAAAAATTGTAATCTGGGGATTCTTCCAATTGACCTCAAATATGAGGAGCATTCTTGAGGATCTCACACAGATACAGATACAGCAATTACTATCAGGTGACACCGAGGTTATTTCAAGGGCTGAGAGAAAATGTCTCATCTGGAATCCCTTTCAGTTCCACACACCAGAGAGGCTCCTCAGAAGTGCTTACCCGAGACTTTCACGCCTCGTTCGGTATTTAGACCCAAACAATGCGATGATTACTTTTTAATAGTGCGAGGGAATACGTTTAGCGAGAGAGAAAAATGAGCATATTTGAAGACAGCTTCAACACTCAACATATCTGTCTTTTTCCACACAAACCGAGAAATGTGCGGAAGATTGTTCTATTCAGACTCACTGAACGCGATGTAAATTGGGAATGTGTTTATGTAGGGACCGGTTCTCACGGTGGATTGGCTTTGCTTGCATTCCGTACAATCTGGTACAACAAATGGCCTCA